ATCTTCAGACTGAAGAGCGAGTTCCTGTCTCATCCAACCTTATATTCCTCTCTAGCGCTGAGATTAAAGGCATGCACCACCACCGCTCAGTCTCTATGGCTAACTAGTGTGGCTGCTGGGATTAAAGGTGTATACCACCACTGCCTGGCCTGTATGGCTGACTGGTGTGGCTGTTCTGCAGTCTGGTCTTCAGGCAAGCTTTATTTATTAAAATACAAAAGAAATATCACTACATAAACCAAAGGAACAGAAGACCCAGAAACAAACCCACAGAGCTACAGCTGCCTGATTTTGACAAAGGTGTCAAAAAGTATAAACTTGGGGAAGGATAACCTTGGTAACAATGGTGCCAGGAAAACCTCTCCAAGCATGCAGGAGAATAAAATTAGATCCCTATCTCTCACTCTGTACAAAAAAAAAAAAAAATCAATTCAAAATGGATCAAAGACCTTAACATAAACATAGAAGTATAAAATCACTAGAAGCAAACATAGGTAAAACACTTCAGGATATCAACAATGACTCCAATAGCATAGAATATAATTCTAAGAATTGACAAACAAGATTACATGAAATTAAAAGACTTCTTCATAGCAAAAGAAACAGTCACCAGAATGAACAGATAATCTACAGAATGGAAAAAAATTCTTCTCCAACTACACATCATTCAGGGAATTTTAATAGCTAGAATACACAAAGAACTGTGAAAATTACATACCGAAGAAAAAAGTCATCAATAAATGTGCTAATAATGAAGCCAATTTTCAAAAGCTCTCAAAAGAATGTTCAATAAATAACTGGGCAAAGTATTTGGAATCCTTAGCAATCAGGGAAACATAAATTGAAACTACTTTGAGATTACATTGTACCCCAGTACAATATAGGGGGAAAAGGAAAGAAAGACAGACAGGCAGACAGAGCGGTGAGTAGATGGGGAACTATCGGGAATGTAAACTGTACAGACACTATGGAAATCAGTAGAGGTTTCTCAAAAAGCTAAAATAGGGCTGGGGAGACGAAAGTGCATGCCATGCAAGCATGAGGATCTGAGTTTGATGCCGGAACCCATGTAAAAAACCAAAACAACAATAACAAAAACCAGGTGATGTGGGAGTGTCATATATCAATCTGTTGATTTCATTGGTTAAGTTATAATAAACCAACTGCTTGGCCTCAGCTTAGAACATAGATGGGAGGAGTAAACAGAATAGAATTCTGGGCGGAAGAGGAAGTGAGGTCAGACTCTGCTCTGCTCCCGGACAGACCCGACAGCTCTGCTGGAGCAGAGACACCATGATGGACAGAGGCTAGAATCTTCCAGGTAAGCGCACCTTGGGGTGCTTACACACATCATTAGAAATGGGCTAGTCCAGGTGCGAGAATTAGCCTGTAAGGGCTAGAGTTCATGGGCCAAGCAGTTCTTAAATGAATACAGTTTGTGTGTTGTTATTTCGGGCATGAGCTAGCAAGTGGCCAGGGTGTTGGGGACGCAGCCCCGCCGCTCCCTATTTCAACAACCAGGCACAGTGGCAATGTTTGTAATGCCAGTGCTGGGTAGACAGGGATAGGTGAGGCTTACTGGCCAACCACTCCAGTATAAGTGAGCCCAGGCCAGAGAGAAATCCTGTCAAAATAGGAAATGACACTTTAGGCTAACATGGTCTGCACACTATGTGCACACATTTATACATACTTGCACTCTATCCGAAACACATATACACATTTTTTAAAAGTGAAAAATAAACTACTATATGACCCAGTCATACCACTTTTGGGTTATATACTTGAAGAACTCTAAGTCAATATATATATAGAGATATTTGCACATTCATGTATGTTGGGTGTTATTCACAAAGTCCAAGCAATGGGACCAGCCTAGATATTCACAAACAGATGAATGGATAAAGAAAATCCAGTACATATATACAGTGAAATTATATTTAGCCATAGAGATAAATGAAACAAAATGATATCTATGGGGAATGAAAGGAAGTAGAAATTATTATATTAAATAATTATATTTGTACCTACACATATGTATATGTGTGCAAACACGTGTGTATAGATCTTGAAACTAGAAAGGGGATAATGAGAGAAGAGAAAGAGATCTTAAGGAAAGAGAACGGAAAAGAGTGATAAAATAGATGTGATATGAAAACAGGAGTAGGACTATTAGGAGAAGTGGGAAGTCAATGAGAAAATGGGAGGAATGAACAAAAAATATGATACATAAAGGTATGTAAAGTGCCATAATAAAACCTATTTGGTAAATGCTATCTTAAATAATTAATTTTTAAAACAAAAAACTTCAAATGCTAGAAGAGAAATCCAGTTTTAAGACAGTAATTCACTAGATTATGGCCTATTCAAGATAGCCTACGACATACACAAAGCCCATGTCTCTATGTAACTTCAGAGGCAGATCTGCATCACAAGGCTGATGATTTCCTCATGATGACAATGTACACCTTTCCTGTTTAAAAAAAATCAGACTGGGGCTGGAAGGTGATTCAGAAGTTAGGAGTCCTTGTTGCACTTACAGAGGACCCAGGTTTCTTTCCAGATCCAGCATCTACACAGCCTTAACTCCAATCCCAGGGAACTCAATGTTCTCTTCTGACTTCCTTGGGCATCAGAGCATGCACGTGGTGCACATAGACACATACAGACAAAATATTCATACATAATCAAATAAATTATCAATAAAATAATCAAAAAAGAAAGAAAAGAATAAAAGTAAAACAAAAGGCTTCCTAGATGAGGGAAATCTTTGATATGTCCATTCCAAAACACTAGCACTGTAAGATAAACCTCTTCAGGCTGATGTGAATAACAGATTAAACCTTAGATCTTGAAATAGAAATGAAGGCCAGGAACCAGAAGGCTGGTTTAGCAGTGGAAAGCCTTTGTGGAGTCCCAGCACCCACATCAAGTGTCTCCCAACTGCTGGTCACTTAAGCTCTAGGAGATCCAGACCCATGAAAGTCAGGAGAGCTGGCTTTACACCCACATGCACATAGAACCACACAGAAGTAAGCATAAAAACAAATCTTTTAAAAGTTTACAATTAAAAGAAATGAAGTCTGGGAAGATGGCTCAGTGGGTAAAGGTTTCTTTCATCACCAAGCCTGACCCACTGAATTTGATTCCTAGAACCCACATGGTAAAAAAGAGAAAATAAATTCCCTTAAGCTGTCCTCTGAAGGCCATGTGTATTCCATAACACCCATGAAGATGCATGCATATATGCACAATGCACAACACACACACAATTTTTTTTGTTTTGTTTAGTTTTGTTTTCTGAGACAGGGTTTCTCTGTGTAACAGTCCTAGTTGTCCTGGAACTAGCTCTTGTAGACCAGGCTGGCCTCAAACTCACAGAGATTCACCTGCCCCTGCATCCCAAGTGCTGGGATGAAAGGCGTGCGCCACCACCTCCTGGCCCAACACACAAATATTTTTTAAACATTAAAAAAGAAAACTTTAAATAAAAGTTCTAGATATTAACATTTGGAGACCACTGCTATGTCTTGTACTGTCACTGAAATATATATGGCAGTTTAAAAAATATTCTAACTGTAATTTTGTGATTAAAATGCATCAGGTGTAATTCATTTTAAAACACAGGTAATTGATAGGAAGAGGGAGAAATGAACAGGTGTGGCCGCAATGCTTCTGTCTTTTACACTAAGCCGTACAATACCAAGTGTAATCTCACTGAAAAGATGGTTGTGCAAGTGAGATGCCTATAGCAACTGTTTAATAAAGATAATGAGGTAAATAAAAACAGTAAAAATGAACTTGAGTTCCAACTCTATCAATTCAAAGGCACTTAGGGGATAAGAAGGAAAGAAACAGGAGAACCATCAGAAGTTACATAAATACTAACACACTGCAAAGGCAACAGCCAGCACATGAAGGCCAGTTCATGAGACAGGAGAAAATAGTTGCAAACTTAGTTACAACAAGGGCTTACAATCTAGAGTGTCACATGTTCACACCTACAGAAAGAGAAATGCACCCAACTTGTCCTAAGATACCTGGGTGCAAGAAAACCACCAGGCCCATTTTCCTGTGGTTTAGAAATGTAGACATTATTATTCCTTTAAAAACGGCAGCGGCGTGGGTGTGTGGACAAACACAGGATGGACGAGACGCAAAAGGAAGAGACAGGACACGCGGCTACCACGTGGGTGCACTTTAATGGGGAGAGGGGAACACAATAAGGGATGGGACGTGCGAGACACACAAGGGTAGGGGGAGAAAAAGGCCAGGAGAGCGAAACCTCGTGGACCCTCGCTTTTAACGGGGGGCGCAAGGTTATCTGGGAGGAATGACCCTCACCTGGGCGCGGCCAGCGCGCACACAGGTGACGGTAATCCAGGAGAAGTCTGGGAGCTGTAGTTTCCAAGGAATAACAGACATTATGATGAATAACAAATACTACCTGGAGAAAACCTAAACAGCAATATTTCAGTCAGCATAAAGGATGCAAATACAAATTTAAAAAATTGACATCATCCAAACTTTTGTATGACTTACATAAAGTAATACAGAGAAAGCATTTTATCCATTTCCAAATAAAATAGATGATTATTTTAAGGATTTGTGCTCAGCCTTGAGCCTAGACACTATACTGGGGAGCTCTTATCATTGTCCTTAGTATGGCATCAACAACAGACAGTCCTGATTTCTAGGCTACTTTCTGTCTTGCCTTAGAAGAATGGTATGCAGCATGTAAGAAGAAAAGGGGAGAAAAATACTTTGAACACAGTACTAAACAGAACTGGAGACGAATATTCAAAACTGAAATGGCCTGTCTCAAAGAAAAGGACACAGGTTAAAAATAAAAAAGGTTTTGATTTTCAACTACATATACAGAGAAAAATAAACCTTGAAAAACATAGTGGAAGTAGATAACTGAAGATATCCATGAATAAAAATATCAAAGTTCAGTTAATTAATTTGGAGCATACACAATCAAATAAAGTAGGCTTTACCTTTTCAGATTCACCATTGCCCAGGGAATGCCAGTAGGTGTGTTAAAGGCAGGAAGGAGCTTCTCAGCCAACTGCACTGCTTTAGTCTTGAATATCTGAGATAAAAACATGAATAATCAAATTATAAGTTATAGGTAAATACTGCTTGTTGCCATCTGTGACCACAATGTACAAGTGACACGGAAGCCTTGCAGTAAGGGCTACATGTCATTCTTCCTGTAGAGTATCTAGACTGGATATCTGCAAAGTAGATACTAAGGAAGGTTTGCCAGTATGCAAAATCCTCAATCCACATCATTGCAAAGAAAGGACATAGTTTGGAGGTTGGTTCATGTCATTTGTATTTTTACCTGCCCCCCCCCAAAAAAAAACTAGGAGAGGGCTGGGACGATGGATCAGCGGCTAAAGCGTGTGACATGAAAGAATCAAGGTTAGTGTTCAAACCTCCAAAAACTCACATAAGTGCTGAGTGGACAGGGCAGTCCATCTTAAATCTAGAAACTGAAGCTGAAGACAGGGAATCCCCAGAGCGAGCTGTCTAACAAGCCATATTGGAGAGCTCTGGGTTTGACTGAAAATCCCTGCTTCGTTAAGGTAGACAAGCAATCCAGGATGACTTCCCACCCTTAACCTAGGCCACATATGTACTTGCACAGATGTGTACCTCCTAAACACACACACATGAGCACACAAGAAAATTCAGGCTTCCACATGTACTCACACACATGTACACCCACACACATGTGCATACACACACAAAAAAAATAGAGAAACAAAATCTAAGAGGAGACAACGAGGCTATGAAATCTTCATCAACATGCAAGCTTATTTCAGATATTTAACAACAACAGCAACAGAAAGCTGTAATATAGTTTAAACAGATGCCCCTGAGTTGCTGTAAATACGTTTCTATCTGATTTAGTTATTTTGGGGAGGCAGTACATGTGTGTTTCTGGTTATGTAATATTAGGAAGCAAAATTTAAAAAGTAAAATTTGAAGACAATATAACTGGACATCTCAAAAACTTGAAGGCATCTAAAGAAGAAAAATATACAATATAATATGGTCTTTATTTTGTGTTAAAACTGCAATGCTAGTAAAATGTGAAACATAAATATGACTGCACTATTTCTAATAATATTTTCCATCAAAATAATATTTGTTTTGCTGAATTATACAAATAGTTCATTATTTTTCTTCTTTGTTAATTAACATGGCAAATTATATCAACTGTTTTGATCTTAAATCATCTTTGTTTTCTGGGTATAAACTTATATGTGGGACTTTTTTTCCATATTCTTAACAACAGCTTGGCTGAGCTTTACTAATTTTTTGTTCAGTATTTTTTCTTATATGCTCACAGAGTCTACAAATCTGTAATGTTCTTTTTGCTTTGACATCAGTGTTTCTATGGCCTCAGAAGAATGGAAAGGCACGCCCTGTGGAGTGCAGAGTTTACAGGCCCTCAGTCAATCATTAACACTCACACAAGACTTTCTTTCAGGACTTCTGAAGGACAATGGCCAAATTATGTAAACCGCCAAGGTGCCGCACATCAACAAATAATTGGATCAATATGCATAATTAAGTTTTTTATATACATACATGTAGAAAAGGAACAAAATTATGTCATTTTCAGGGAAATGAAAGGAATCATCTTCATGTTAAGCAAACTAACCCAGACTCAGAAAAACAAATCTAGTCTGTGTTCATTTACATGTGGAATCCAGATTCAAACCAAAGCCATGAAAGTAGACTATCTGAGAAAAGGAAGGGAGCTACTACTAGGAAGGTGGGCAGGAAACTACTGGAGATGAGGGCAAAAAGATGCAAGGTAAGTATTAGTGTGATCGAAGTATATTACACACATGTCAAAAACGGCACAACGAAAGCTACTATTTTGTGCAATTAATGAACCCTAACTAAAAATAAAGGAGGAGGAGAAGCAGAAAGCCCAAGAGAGAAATACTGCGTGAGAACCAGGCCAGTATACTCCACCTCCACCTGGACAAACATTTCTATGAGGTCCTGAAAGGACCCCAGGGGCTAGCACCACTCCCCACCATTTACAGCCTAAGGCAGAAAAAATAGAAAGTTAGTAAACAAGTGACTTCTAAACTATTCATTTAAAAAGAACTGTATTAGACTGAATTTTCTTACCTTCCATATCTGGTAAGACTAATCAATCAAACAATTTACCTTGGAATTAATACTAATGTTATATACAAGGTTATTCATTGTTTTTGCTTTTTCAAGAATCAATTTTAACAGATCTTTTTCAGAGAACTTTTCCATTTTACCTTAAATCTTTGTTTACAAAATAATATTTGGCACATTCTACTATTATGTTTTTAATGTCTTGTGGGGGTCTCTGTAAACACTAGGGCAGCAGAATAATGATCGCTGAGACAAGAAGGAATCCAGTTCAACATGGCTAGTAGCTGGTGTTGGTTCACACTTCCAGAGTTTGACAACAGGCAGTTTATTGCAAGCATATTTAAGTACAGTACAATTTGGAAAAAAGCTTCCTAGTGTAATACAATCCCCTCTGCACAAGGAGGCATACTTCTCAAAGTACATGCAGCTTCTTCCAAGAAGATGGGTTCTAGAGATAGGCTACATGCATTATCTTAAGGCCCTGGGGAGAACCTGGTCATCTGCGCTATTAGCCATCCATGGTCCTGGTTGGGGGAGCTTACGGGAGCCCCTGGTTATACAGATAATGCAAAGGTCACTTAGACTATTAGTCATTTCTTATCCTGCTTACAGATAGTACAGATCACCAGGCTATTGACCACCCCCATTCCCAACTTTCTTGGTGAAAAACAGGTTATACTTTATACTTCTCTTTATTAAATAGACAACCCTAATTGCTTAATAATCCTGCTTTCCCCTTGAGCCCAAGGACCTTTGTACTCCCAACAATGTCTATGATGTCTGGGATGATAGCCTAACCATGAAAATAGCATTCATTCCAGATTTGGTAAGCCATCTTCTATTACTTCCTTCTTATATATACACACACACATATATACATATATGTATATATTCAATTTTATTGGTACTTTCCAAGAGCCAACTTTATAAAGCTTTCAATTTCCCTTGCAATTCTTTATTTGATGTGTTTATTAGTTCAAGAGGTTGAACTTTGCAGTTCAGCCTCCAGAAGTACTGGGATTATAGTGAGCCACCATGTACCAAGAGCTCTTTTAACTTTTTTTATAATTTGATTAAAACTTACCTTGTTGTCCAGGATATAAACATCCTGTGTACTAGAAAAGACTACATATTCTGTAGTTGCTGAGTGTTCTATAAACATCAATTCACTTAACAGAGTTGTTACTGTCGCTAAGGATTTAGACATCATTACTAATTTTTTGTCTCTCTGTCCTATCAATTTTGCAAAAAAAAAAAAACACTGAAGGATCCAACAGTTCTTTTGGAATTGCCTTTTTACTTTAATAATTCAAAAGAAAAATGAATTCTACCCATTTTTGTTTTGTGCATTTGTAGCTTTGTTATGAGGTGCCCAAAATAGAGTAAGTTATTGCTTTAATGTTGGGATTGTTATATCTTCCTAATGTAGTATCCTTTGTCACAGAGTATCCTTCATCTCGGGGGAATTTTTATTGTGAAATCTACTTTCTTAATTAAGCATGCATTTTAGGTTTGCTATTTGTACCCTGCACCTTCTCCCATCCATTTATGTTCAAGCTCTCTGTACAAATTATGTCTTACAGACAGTGAACAGTGAACTCCTGCTTTTGTCCCTGATGATGAACATGCAACCCAGAATGTCAAACATGCCAAGCACATGCTCTACAGCTGAGCTATACACCCTACTCTTTTTGTTTTCTGTCTATCACCTCCAGACTTTCAAGAAGTCCCTCTAGGCCTTCCTGATTGCCTTTTTTTCTTTTTTCACTTAAATGATTTTTTTTTTCTGACAATCATTTAGAGGCACACATCTCTTGATTATTTTTAAATTTTCTTAGGGTAAAATCCCTAACTTTTCAGACTATCAGTTATATTGCACAAGTTCCTATAAAATGTAAAAGCTTCCAATTATGTAGATCATTTTCTCAATCACTCTATCTTATTTCGTAACTGATATGCATTACAGTTAAATACTGCAATAAAATATTCTGGATTGGTTTTATTGTTTGTTTGAAGTAAATACATCATTTTAAAGTATTAGATGAAAAATAATCTCATGGTTTCAATTATTTATAGTTTTCCATAGTGTCATTTTTCACTCAGAGCTTCCAAATTTTTCTTTCTATATCTGGTGTCTAGCTAGATGACTAAGTGAACTTAGTCATGATGCCCTAGTTAAGGTTTCTGTCAGCTTGACACAGTCGGGTCATTTGGGAAGTGAGAGCCTTGAGAAAGTCTCCATCAGATTAGCCTATAAGCAAGACTGTTGTGGGTTCCTTGATTAATGACTAAGGTGAGAGGGCCCAGGCTACTATGGGTGGTTCTGTGACGTATAAGAGGGTAGCTGAGCAAGACATAGAGAGCAAACCAGTAAGGAAGCACTCTTCCTCTATGGCCTCTCCTTCAGTTTCTGCTTCTGAGTTCCTGCACTGATTTCCCTTCCTGATAGACAACTAACTGTAAGCTGAAATAAATCCTTTCCTGCCCAAGTTGCTTTTAGTCATAGTGTTGTATCACAGCAACATAAACCCTAACTAAGATACACATGAAAAAAACATGTTTTCAATTTCAGGTCTGCCACCAAAACAAAACAATATGGCTGTTGTTTTTTAACAACCACCATTCAAAGTACATGTACATCAAACCTTTTAACATTAGCACTTGCCCTTTTTTCTCCTTTCCAATTTTATTATCTTTCTTTTTGCTAAATAATTTAATTTGCTCTATCTTCAAGTCTAGTGATGTTATTTTCAATGACAGGTGTAAACAGTAAGAAAAAATTAGTTACCATATACTTCATTTCTAGACTTTTCAAAGTTGTTCTATATCTGACCTAATTTTTACTAAGATTTTCATCTATACAATAACTTCAAGAATATTTTTTGATGTTACTGAGCAAAGCCATAAAAAAAAA